CACGCAATCCCAGGCGACTCTTTGATACCTTCAACTCTCTTATTCACCCAGCTCGAACTGATGTAGAATTATTAAAATCTTTATTAGAACCTGTATTGAATTATTGTACTAACTCCATTTTAATCTCACACTATGACAGAATTCTCCATTTTGTTCACCTTACATGACAGAATTTCCTGACAGTATTCAGTATAATGAATAAGAGATTGTATTTTCTCTCTCTAAGGACATGACTAGCCCCGGAGTTAGCGGATCTCCCGTAACTTGCAACATAGTATAATCCAAGGCCAGGAGAACAGCGACTAAATGAAATGTTCTATTCATAAAAGAACCTTGGACCAGACCACGAGACTGACATCACTAACTACGTAAAATGATGCCCAAGCCCCCCCTTTCCACCGAGTAAGCCTCGTGCTAAAGAGCAATGGCGACGACATCCCATGATGGGAGGGTGCCTCACTAGTCACTCAAATCTCTGAGCCAATTAATAATATTAATGGGTGGACACTGACATAGCCACTTAACATTTAACCCAATTAATGATGTTTATTTGTTATTATCTGATATTCAATGATGATGTCATTTTGCATATAAAAAGGCCTGCGTGCCCACTTTTTAACTAGATGCTAATAAATTTCCTGAAGTGTTTTTAACCTGAACTGCATGTGTCAGTGTGAACTTACTTCTGCGTATACGCAATTTATTCATCTCAGATTTGGACAGGAACAGATAGACTTTTAAACATTTTTGTTTATTTCTAAATTAATCCACATCAATTTGGCGTCCATCCACGTGGGGCATCGGGCTATGGCCTCCGGCCGGTAAGCCGTCCTAAGGAAGACGCTGTTGGACGGAGGAATCGGGGGGGAAGGAAGAGAGACTGATCACCTCTGAGTACACGGTAGAGACTTCTGCAGGAGCCACCGGTATGTTCCAGCCCCTTTGATTGACCCGTCCACGTGTCTGTGACTGCCTCCCGGGAGGGCATCAAAGACAGGTAATATCTTGCCCGGTGTCTCGTTACCCATTTGTTAACCTGCATTTAGTCTATCTGTTGCCTGGGTGTGCTAGTGGTATATGTTTTGTTCTTTCCCTCTTTTGGGATAAAGGGGGGTGGACCCGTGGGTGGTTGCCTGGGGGTCTTCTGTTGCCTGTTTTTACCCCTTTTTAGGAGTCACTTGGCCCAGACTGTTGGGAAAAAAGGGGGGGTGGACCTGTGGGGATTTTCCAAAGGGGTCCTGTCTTCCTGTTTACTTCTTTTAGGTACTGTCTAGCTAACAGTAGTAAGGAAAAAGAAGGGTTGGGGGATCTGTGGAGGGGACTTGCCTCCTGGGGTTTCCCGGTTACGTCACTTTGATATTCTAGCTAGCCTCATTGTGTACGTTGCTCTGCTTGCAGAGGTTATGGTACCCTCCAGCTTCGAGCGCTGAGGCTGGTGGCATTCCAATTTATTTGTGGTGTGTGGATTCGGGCAGGCATTGTTGTCTCCATCACCACGGGGTAGTGTGACTTGTGGGTGGGTCCATAGGGAGCACTACGGGAGTGAGGATAGAGGTGGCCACACTTAGTGGACTGCTGTAACGAGGGAGGCATATGGATTTCGGGCCGGTGTTAGTCGTTATCCTTGGCCGCTGGTAGTGAAACTTACGAAAGTTGTTCTCCGAGCGGGGACACTACGAGATTGAGGGAGGTGGCCTTGGTGGCCACAAGAGTAAAGGAAAGGGATTACTGTTGATGCATGCACTGTATTTCAATTGAAATGTTGTATTAAATGTTGTCTTAAGTGTGGAGTCATTCAAACTCCTGGGTCTGTCTCTACTTTCACTGTTTACTTTTACTTTACTTCCTGTACTATTTACACTATCCACTCCTATTTCTCTTGAAAGAGAAGTGATTGGTCACACACTTCTCACCCCGCTCCAATCCGTGGTTACCATCGAGGGTACACGGATTCAGTGACTGGTCTACGTTTTGGGAAGACGCACTGGGAGGGACCCACCCTTCCTAGTGGCAGTCGGGAGGGACCCACCCTTCCTAGTGGCAGTCGAGCATTGTAGACGTTCTGTTTCATTTTCCTTTACCTATACTTGGGACGCTTTGTATAGGGGGATATGGGACAGGAAACGAGTAAACCCGCTAGGGGCTGGCTCGCGTGTGATTTAGTTGAAGATAGAGAAGGTGAAGAACTGGTTAAAAATGTTGCAAAGATTGCTAAAGTATGTAAAATTGCTGTGCCTTCATGTGGTAGATTACAACCAGAAAGTTGGCGTAGATTACTGACAGAGAAGAAAGGCAAGCTTACAGATAATGATTTATTGCATACTGCTGAAGCATGGTACAGAGTAGAAAGGCTATCCAGCAGGAGGGTTGGGTAGAGGAAGAGATAAATCATAAAGGGTTAAGAACTGTATGTATATCATAATAATTGTGTTACTGGGAAGTTATCCCAGCCAGTGCCCTGTCGGGGCGTTCCAGGAGGTGACCACTTCCATCATCCTGTCAGTAATGACCGAAATGTAGCTGACCATGGTCACCATCCCACCCCAATCTTAAAACGCTGTGGGGTTTTTGTATTTTGTGTTAGCCATTACCCTGGTAGAGGGTGGGGGTTTAAATGAAATGTTGTGTTTTTGTGTCTCTTTGCTTTGTAATGTAATTGTCCTTCTGTCTTGTTACTGTACAGCGTTGACATGGTTAAATTCGTGCTGGCAGGCAGTCTCTCTCTTGTTCCACTCAAATCCCCCTCTGCTAAAACACCCCCCCCCCCTCCCCTGGCTTCTGTGAGACGCGGGGGGGGAGGGGGCGGAGGGGGGTGGTGACATGCTTGCGATTTAGGTCTGTCTCTTCGGTGTTCTGTAGAGTTATTCAGAAGCTACTGATAAGATTTTAGCAATGGAATTTTTGCTAGAAAAAATATTCAAATTTTGTATTTTGTTATCTCAATAGAAATTGATAGGATGGTTAGGGAGTGAATCTGATGCAGGAATAGAAGTTATTAAGTTAGTATATGTTTCTAGAGACAGCTTTGTGGGCTGTTAGATGTATAATATTCACAACTGTCTTATTTAATCCGTCAAGTCTGTCCACAGTTCAGATTTTCATTTTGCCGAACAGAATGTTACTTCCCATGAAACCCACGCCTCCAGAGAGACTTAGTATGCCCTAAAGGAAAATGGCCCCTAGAACAAAAGAAGGTTGTCCTTAAGTGCCTTCACTCTGCCCTTAGTGAGGTCATATCTGCCCATATATCGTGTCAGTTCTGGCCATCCATGGCTGACGAGATCTACTCCTATCATGCTCATCCTATCTTAAGACATGCTGTCTTACTTAATTCCCACATATTATGAACAAGAAAGTTACAATTACTAAAATAATCCTGCTAATGTTTCCTTATATCAGAAAAGTGTCTGTGACAAGTGATGGTTAATATGTAGAAAGGATATATATATATCGATTCACGTGTTAAGTAACAATATGTTTTAACTTTGTGTACAAAAAATTGATAACATGCTAGAAGAAGGGTTACTAAAAGAAATTTCTAATAAACAAAGATTTCTTGAACAAATGGTAATACAATTAAAGATTGGTCTCAAGATGTTTTGATCTAATTGAAAAGAACCAGAAAACATTATGAGCCTAACTACTAACAAATGGATAAGGGGGGAGTGTATTCCAATCTGTCTTTATTGGATAATGTTAACCACCAAGATTAAAGACTGACTAACATATTTTTTTAATGTAAGCCCAGATATTTTATTATTATATATGCATAGAAGTCGAGACTTTGGGCATTATAGTGTATTGATTCTAGATCTGTTACTAGCAGCAAGTGCTTAGCCTTATGCCTATCCCACGCATGCTTAAACACTCCTTTACTGTGTTAACCTCTATCACTTCAGCTGGAAGGCTATTCCATGCATCCACTACCCTCTCAGTAATGTAATACTTCCTGATAGTATTTTTATTTAAACCTTTGTCCCTCTATTTTTGAGACTATGTCCTCTTGTTATGGTAGTTTTCCTTCTTTTAAATATAGACTCCACTTTAACTGTGTTGATTCCCTTTGTGTATTTAAATGCTTTTATCATATTTCCCCTGTCTCGTCTTTCCACTAGGCTATACATGATAAGATCCTTTAACCTTTCCTGGTAAGTTTTATCCTACAATCCATGAACCAATTTAGCAGCCCTTCTTTGAACTTTCTCTAAGGTATCCATGTCCTTCTAAGGATATGGTCTCCAGTACTGTATACAGTACTCCAAGTGAGGTCTCACCAGTGTTCTGTACAATGGCATGAGCACTTCCCTCTTCCTACTGCTAATACCTCTCCCTATACAACCAAGCATTCTGCTAGCTTTTCCTGCTGCTCTATTACATTGTACATTGTCATTAACAGCCAGAAACTGGAAACCAGAAAGGATAAATTAATGTATAGCTAAATGTAAAGCTTAACAAAACCTCCATTATCTTTTTCATTTATCTCGCAGAAAAACAATGTTATTTGTCTATTTTGTAAGTTTTAATACATTATCAGTGAAGAGTAAAATAAGTTTTATCCCTTTTGCGAGACATAAAATTGCGATAATGTATATTTGTGATGTAAGTAAGAGTTATATTTTATGATAGGTTGAAGAAAAAAAAAAAAAGAGAGAGTCAGGGATAGCGTCTGTCTCTACGAGCAAAAGTCTGGTGTGGGAGATGTAGTGGACTAGCCACTGCGGGATACCCACGGAGTGAAGCGTTCGAGGCCTGTACAGACAGATGTGCTTGTTAGCCTTTTATTATTTTTCTCTAGGGAAAGCATAGGGCCAGTTAAAAGTTGTTGTACATGGGCTATTTGCAGCCTCCATTGCATTTCTACTTAGTTCTGATTTCTGATGTATCCTCCACTGCTACATACCCACGCCTCCAGAGAGACCTGTCTGCTCCCTTACCTGCCCACCCCTGCCTACTCCTACTCCTACTCCTCCCTCCTCCTACTCCACCTTCTCCTCCTTCTACTTCTCTCTCCTCCTCCTTCTCCTCCTCTTTCTCCTCTCCTCTACTCCACCTTCTCCTCCTCCTACTCCTCCCTCTACTTCACCTTCCACTCCTCCTATTCCTCCCTCCCACTCCACCTTCCCCTCCTCCTACTCCACCTTCTCCTCCTCCTACTCCTCCCTCCTCCTCCTACTCCTCCCTCCTCCTCTTATTCAATCCTACTCCTCCTATTCCTCCTTCTACTCCACCTTCTCCTCCCTCTACTCCACCTTCTCCTCCTCCTACTCCTCCCTCTACTTC